GAGTTTCACCATGTTGGCCAGGATGGTCTCGATCTCCTGACCTGTTGATCTGCCTGCCTCAGTCTTCCAAAGTGCTGGGATTACAGGTGTGAACACCGTGCCCAGCTTTTTTTCCAGATATTTTCAAACTGAGGTTGGTTGCATCTGCGGATGCGGAGGCGCAGATACAGAAGGCTGGCTGTAGTAAGCGGAACATTGCCTCAAAGCCCTTCCTGTTTCTTTCCTTAGTCCCTGCCTACCATGGCTCCTAGGCTGAACCTCTCCTGGACTAGACCCAAAGCTGGGCGATGGCTCACTGGGCTCTGAAAATGGATTGAGGGAGTGAGGCAGGCTGCCCATCATTCCTCCAGCCCCCAGGGTGTAAACAGGAAGCCCTTAGCCAACGCTGATGGCAGTGAGCAGCCATGCACCTAACAGATGAGCCACTGGCAGCACGTCCCACCCTAGGCCCTACCGTTGGGCCAGAACCAAGGTGTCCCTGATGTTTGCCTCTGTGCCCATGCTGGCCTTTAACCAGGCCCTGCCCTCAACCTCTGGCACCCCACATCTCCAAGGCCTGAGCTCCTATCCCTGGCCTACTGGCTGAGCAGGGCTGGAGCTGGATGAAGACAGGATGAGCCGTCACCAGGGCTCCCAGCTTCAGGGAATTGAGGCCTTAGATGTGGCCGGGGCTGGAGTCAACACTAGAAAGAGTGACCGGCAAGAGGAGGGCATATGAGAGGGAGGCTGGTAACAGGGTTGCCTCTGGAGGGGAAGGAATGTCTGGGGCTGATGGAGGGAGATGTTTTCCTGTCTGCCCCATTTTTTTTTTCTGATGTGGAGTCTCATTATTGCTCAGTCTGGAGTGCAGTGGCGCAATCTTGGCTCACTGCAATCCCTGTCTCCTGGGTTCAAGCGATTCTCCTGCCTCTGCCTCTCCAGTAGCTGGGATTACAGGTGTGTGCCACCACGCCTGGCTAATTTTTGTAGTTTTAGTAGAGACAGCTTTTCACCATGTTGGGCAGGCTGGTCTTGAACTCCTGACATCAGGTGATCCGCCAGCCTCGGCCTCCCAAAGTGCTGGGATTACAGGTGTGAGCCACCAGGGCCAGCCCTCTGTTCACCTTTTTACCAGTTGAACATTCCTTGTGACTGTGAAACCTGGTCCAAATACACACCTACGTGCTTATATGAACACGTGGATAGATGACAGCAAAAACAGTCACCTGTGAGGGAGTGGACTGCAGCGTCCTCGCAGTGGCCTGTTGGCAGGAAGGCTAAGGGAATAGGAGAAAGTTGCGGCAGTTGCCCTGGCTCCTGCCTGCATCCCTCAGCTTTCCTCCCTACCTATGAAGATTGTTTACTGAGCTCTTGGGCAACCCTCTGCCTTTTTTCTGTCTGTGGAAGGATGGCTGGTCATGGTCACAGGGCAGGCCGGAGGTCCAGAGAGTTAAAGAAGCAGCCCTCAAGCAATGACCGACCAGCAGTTGATGAAAAATCACCCTTCTGGGCATGGTTGCATGCATCTGTCATCCTAGTGACTCGGGAGGCTGAGGTGGGAGGATCACTTGTGCCCAGGAGTTCAAGGCTGCAGTGAGCTATGATCCTGCCACTATGCTCAGGCCTAGGCAATAGAGCAAGATTTTTTTTTTAAGTTGGAGTCTCTCTCTCTTTTTTTTTTTTTTTTTTTTTTTTTTTTTTTTGAGACAGTCTCCCTCTGTTGCCCAGGCTGGAGTGAAGTGGTGCAGTCTCAGTTCACTGCAACCTC